CCCCCCCCCCTTTTCTTGCATTAATTTCCTTAGTAGAAGAAGTAGAGCTTCATATTTTTCTGGGAGTTTTTGTCTAAGATTTCATGTAGTACATAGCAACACAAGGAACAATATAAAAACTCAGTATTTTGGCACTGGCATTACAGCTGATAATCTGCTAGTGTATTTAGCCAATGCTCTAAGAAATATGACACCCATTGATAGGTTAAATATTTTTTCAAAATTTTCATTTCATTGTTTTGACTTAGAGCTCCAGTGGTACCCCTGTTTGAAAATGTAAGTCTTTGACTTCAGTAACATCATGTAACTTTCAGGATGTAACTGCATGGCAGAATAGATGTGCTGTTTCCACCCTGAAAAGATTGAAGGCCACAGCCACAGGCCTCTTACCATTCACTCATGTGCACGAATGTTTTTGGTTTTTGTAAATGGGGGCTATGTAACATGACTGAGAATTTCACTGAGCTAAGTGTTATTTCAGACAAAGCCTTTGAATGACATTTTTTCATCAGTGTTGCTTGAGCATATCTACAAAGCATTAAATAAATTTTACAAAGGAGTGCTATGACTTTGTTGGGCATGTCTGAATTAGGTTTACTGCTTTCTTCTATGGCTTGTTACCTAGAGCTAATCTAACACGAAGAGAAAACACAGGGCATAGCCCTGATTTTCAGTGAAGTTGCTTTGTGTGGTTTGGGTGAGGCAGAAAAGCCTGGTATCTGCCCTAAGGAGAGCCCAGATTGATCCAGCACAGCAGGATTCCCATGAGGCAGGCTGGTGGTTTCACTGCTCCAACATTGTGGGTCTCTTACATAGGGTCATGCCCTAACTTTGTCTGGAAAGAAAAGGATGGACAGATTATGTTGTGCTTCAGCCATTTTCCAGACGATGACAACAAATGCTGTCATAAGTAGTATGTTAAAAGAATCACCAAGGCTATATAATGTTACTAGAGCTCTAGAATTTGAGAAGGAAAAAGAGTTGATTTTAAGCTGCGTTTGTTTTTCTTTCCCTACTGCCACGGTGAAATACCACATCAGCTGTGAAAGGCTTGGTTGCAATATATGGCTGAAGCTACGTAATAGTGAAGTTATTTTGTTCTTATCTCTAAAATATTTATCTTAAAATCCATTTAAAACTGATTCACATGTTTCAGGATGCTAGGAGACTGCTACAGGAGGAATCTTGGCATTCCTGTTCTTCAGGAGGGCAAAGCTTTGGATCATTGTGGGAGCGATGCATTCAGTGGGGTGGGCAAGTGTGTGGGTAATCTATTGCTGATGTGCATGCTGATGGCTGGATACCTGGACAACTTTTGACAGCAATCCATGAATGAGTTATAGTGATGGGCTAGAGGCATTAAGGAGTGACACAGAAGGCTGTGTCCAGATGTTCAAAGGTATGTTAGAGCAAAATATTCATTGAGATAAAGAATTTCATTCAATAGATATTAGGAGCTAGATACAATAAAAGGCTTAGGCTTAGACTTAAAGCAGGATTGAGGCTTGAATCTGTGTAAGTCTCAAATAATGATGACAAACCCTTCTTTACCTGGAGACCACAAATACCAAAAGAACCTAGCCTTTTCATGAGGTTTATAGGTACTTTTTTAAAAATCATGACATTACCTTACTTTTGGTGGTTCACTCTCTCCAGTGTGATGAGTCCCTGGTCTAAGTGGTTCATAATTTCAGCCTCACTGGGATAGACATGTCAGGTATTGCTTTGCTTCCCAGTACAGTGGAAGCTCTCAAGTAGTGTCTAATACATTCTGACAGAATCAAGGTCCTCAGTTAGGGGTCTAAAAAAGTGAAGAAAGCACCCTGAATCTGTCCTATTGAAACTGTCACCATGCAGTCAAGTACCAGCCTCCTGGGGTGAGAGAGAACAAGCACATAAGACACATTTTAGTCTAATAGTTAAAACCACCATTCCAGGAAGAAGAATCTTGACATTCAGTTCCCAGTTCAAAGCATTCTTAATCTAATTTGCCCTATAACTGTTTAAAGCAAAATTCATAACATTCAGAGGAAGGATCAAACCGAAGGTTCCTGTCCTATTAGGTAAGTGCTCTATTCACTAAACCATGGGATTCAAACCCGTGTTTGAATATCTTCAGCTTTACCAAACCTGGGCCTTCCATCCAGCAGGACGTACTTTAACCACTGGACTACTGTTGTCAGGAGGATTCTGGTCCACAGGGCTTGGAATTACCTCTGTGCCTAGGTGGGTTCCTACTTTCTCAACTGGGTTAAGCTGAAAGTGGTTCTCTGCTGAAAATAATAGCTACTTTGTTTTCCATTTGAGGGTGGAGACTTTCATTTGCAGCTCACATCCCAGCGGAGTTTTCTTATCTCAGACTGTTGGTCCTAAAAAAGACATGTAATGTGTATTTCTTAGAGAAATCTAAATCACATGTAGTTCAAATGCTTAAGCAGCTGAATGCTAAATAACTAAATATCTTGGACATAGACCTTATTGCAAGCAGAGCTGAGCAGTTCAGCCACCATTGAAATGAGAAAGCCTGGTTGCATTTTTTATTGAATCTTGGGGACTCCAAGTGGTGTGCACTTTGAGGAATCTTTTGCTCCTTTACCTAGGAGCCATGACATCCTGGACCTATGGGAACCTTTGTGTGGTGGATCTCTGTATGTAATGTGCAATTTGAAAGTGGTTTCTCTCATTTATTTCAACCCAAAATATTTGGTTGGTTGTCGAGATTCAGATCAGCTGATTGCACAGCACGAAAAGGGGTCAGGGATAATTGATAGGCCTAGAACTGTGGGTGGAAGAAAGATATTGGATTGAATCCGTCTCTGGAGAACAGCAGAAAAATGTTACAAAGAGCCCAGGAGAGTCAATATGACCTGCAAAAAGAATGCAGGGGATAAATAGAGAGGATCTATTAATACAAACATTCATTAAAAATCAGTGGGCTTTTAGTGTGTATCGTAATATATTTAAACCAGTTGCTAGATATCAGCTAAAATTTAGCTAAATTGCTTCAATCTCTACAGAAAGCTAGCTCCAAACAGCTGTATTTCTGTGTTCAACACGTTAAACATCTGGGTCTGCCATTTTAACGTGTACAGTCATTCAGAGCTGGAATTTAGGGTAAATATTTGAATGTTAGAATAAGCATATTTCATCTACATACAAGTGGAATACTGTTAGCATTTCTCAGATTTGGAATGGGATTTTATGTTCTATATTTAAGATATTTAGTCAGCATATCACACTTTATGATTGCAAAACAGGACTCTAGACTGATCTGTGAACACAGGTGCCTCAACTTTTAAGTACTTATGTACTTAAAACAACAAAGCAAGTAATTTTATCTTTTTTTATTTATCATTTGATAAGCTATCTTTTTAAAATCCTCTTACTTCTGTTTGTAGTATGGAAACAACACCGTTATAACATTGGCAAAATATTCGCTTGTATTTACTTCAGGGAATAAGCGATGCGTTGCATTTTTGCAATGATTCATATGTAGCGTGCCTACTAGGCCTCAGTAACATATTTCTAGTTAATATTTTCATTTCTAGTAGTTTCTAGTTATTTCTTCAGGCTATGCAACATAAAGAAGTTATGATCCTATGTGGCAGGCCCGCAGACATGAAAGGCTCCACTCTGATATGATACAGAGATTAAAAATAATATAATAGAAAAAGGCTTGCTTGCATTACTATAGGTATATGAGGTATATACATCCCATACCATGGGAGGTATGTCCAATCACTATTATCTGAACTGCACATGTAACAAATAAATTAATTTTCATATTGCAGCGTCTATAATCTGTTGAAGTCAGTTAAATCTATATTCAGGGCGGCAGGGAGAGGAGTGGGAAGAAGTTCCGTATTCAGATAACTTCCTAGAAGATAGTGAGAACAGGCTACATCATTAATGCCCCAAATATTTGTTGCTTGCTGCTTCTTATACATTAGTGACTTTTGGCTCAACAGTAGATAGCCTACAGAAAGAAGCCAGAGCCTTTAAAGGTCTACTTGAATGTTGGAAATGAAAAATAAGGATGACTATGAGTATGAACTAGATCCCTAAAGGAAGGTTAATATGGCAATGTTCAAAGACACTGTACTAAATTTTAGGTGTCTAGTGGTATCTACACCCCTGAATAAAACACTTAAGCTCTCTAGTCATTGAACCTATGAGTGAGAATCAAAATAGTCAATGTGTTAAATAGGGGGCTGCTAAAGTTATCTAATTGAAACCCTGATGGCAGAGTTGGGTCTTATACCCTTGTCCTGTCAGAAGGATTAGATACTTAATGCTGGGTTGCAGGGACACGTTTTTATTAGATCAGTTTTCATATCCTGCAGCCCTCTTGTGCATTGAGGTACCTAAAATGCTGCTTCCAGAAACAGAACACTTTGCAGAAAACAATCCCAGAGGTTTGAGACTGAAGAAAGGAAAATTTTAATCACTTAAAGCATAGATTGGTACATTCATCTAAGACGGGATATTTGGATATAAAAACTGTTCCAAGAACAACTTGTGCATTTTATGTGAATTTCTAGATAGATAAAATTTAAAACTGACACCAAGACCTTCATGTCTCCTCAGTAAGGTCAACTTCTCCCTTAGTCAGTAAAATCACTCTTGCAAGCCTACACCAGTGCCTCATGAACTGAGACTGGAGAATTGTTCTAGCCATGGAGGCATCTTAGGAAAAGGGGTAACATCTCCAATGTCTGAGCCCACTGTGGTCTTTGAAGGGCTTGATCTTGTAACTGTACTTCAAGGTCTGATCTCTCCTGATCAAGGAGTCAGGATTGTTCTCCTCAGCTACAGAGCCTGGAGCAAGGAACTGGACTGTTAAAATGTGTAAATGTCTAAAGATAGGTGGAATTTGTGGATTTCTCTCTTACACCTACAAACGTGCTTAAATCTCAGCACAGTCCCACTTCAGGCAACTGTAT